AAGATGGAACCAAGTTTAGATTCTGTCTGATTCATAAGAATTTTCTTATTGAAGTCTTTGTTTATCTTATTTTAACTGCCATTCCTTTATTTTTTTTGGGACTGCCATTCCTAATTACTATTAATTCATGATACTAATTTCTTGTGGTGACTGTATCAACTGGTAAGAATCACTTGGATTTGCTATTATAATAAAGCTGGATCCGAGTCATGTTTCTTGTATGGTAGACTTTATATTTATATGAATAGCATATTTTATACTGTTCAATTGTGCAAAAGATGGAACCAAGTTTAGATTCTGTCTGATTCATAAGAATTTTCTTATTGAAGTCTTTGTTTATCTTATTTTAACTGCCATTCCTTTATTTTTTTTGGGACTGCCATTCCTAATTACTGTTAATTCATGATACTAATTTCTTGTGGTGACTGTATCAACTGGTAAGAATCACTTGGATTTGCTATTATAATAAAGCTGGATCTGAGTCATGTTTCTTGTATGGTAGACTTTATATTTATATGAATAGCATATTTTATACTGTTCAATTTTGCAATAAGATGGAACCAAGTTTAGATTCTGTCTGATTCATAAGAATTTTCTTATTGAAGTCTTTGTTTATCTTATTTTAACTGCCATTCCTAATTACTGTTAATTCATGATACTAATTTCTTGTGGTGACTGTATCAACTGGTAAGTTTATAGTTGACAAACTCAAGTTTACTTTTTGTTCAAATATATAAATATATCGGAAAGAAATTGTATATTCTATTTCTACAACCATTTCTCTATATTTTAACATGTGTTCATTTTATAAAAAAAAAAAAACTTTCATAATTTCTGACCTACTAATCATGTAAAATTGCACAACACCTTTTAGTGTATAACTTATTTTTTTTTCTCCATAAATATGGCTTATGTTTTCATTCAAAATTAACAACCAAAAACTAATACATTTTTTCAAAATGTGCTTCAAAATTATAATATGACCTATTTAGACATAAAGATAAAATATGATACCATATAAATTCAATTAAAAATTATAATACTAAACATGATTTTTAATTTATTTACGATATGTTTTTTTACATCAATAATACATATTCATTAAATTCTAGTAGAATTATTAGAGTCAATTTAATAGTAAAAATTAAAAATAATACATGTAGGATTTTATATTCTAATTTTATTATCATTATTGTAATTTTTATAAAAAAAAATCTAATATAATTAACTTGCTACAAAAGTTGACATTTTTAAGAATCTTTTAATATGTTTTAACCTAAATTCATAAAGTTATGCCAAATGTAAATATTAAATATTTTTTATTTTATTTTTTTTAGGACTTTTTAAATCTTAAAAGTGAAAATTTAGTACTACCACTTGTGCAAAATATTATTTTCCCCCGAATTTAATTAATAATTAAATATATTCCTCTTTCCCCCAAAAGAAATTTAAAATACCAATTTTTTCCTCACCGAGAAGAAGAGAGTGAGTGTGGGTCGAAGAAGCTACAGCTGAAACAGAAGCTCCTTCGATCTACAATCCATAGCTATTGCGCTCTCAATTTCCGAGAGTCTTCTTTCTCTCTCGCTGTGATTCCACCTTTTTGTCATCATGATTTCTGCTACTAAACTCAAATCCGTCGATTTTTACAGGTTGGAATCTTTCTCAGTTTCTCTCCTCTTTTCGGTTTCAATTTGCTTCAAGTATGCAGAAGAATTGTTTTCGGTTTCATTTTGCTCCAAATATGCAGATTAGTTGTTTTCTGTCCTAAATTTGGTTAAATCTTGTCGTGTTCATTGTTAAGCACTTTAGATAACGGTTGGGACCGTAAGAGAACACGAATATCTACGTGTAAGAAGAGCATGTCCATTACCTAGATTTGCATTTTCTATTGTGATTCGGAGTGTTTTTCTGTAAATTTTACCTTTAGTTTTGTGGCTATGGACATTATAAAATGCGATGGAAATTTTATGAGTAATTTGTGAATGCATACTTGATTTTTCCCCTTTCTATAAAAAAAATTATTAATAATTTTGTTATGTGCTTGTTGTTGACTTCAATGACTTGTGTCAACAGAAAAATCCCAAGAGATTTGACTGAGGCGTCGTTATCGGGAGCGGGATTATCCATAATAGCCGCTCTTGCTATGATGTTTTTGTTTGGAATGGTCAGTTGCTGAAGCCCCCATTGTCATGTGCATTGTACATTGATCTTAGGTTCTATCTTGCTTATACTGTTATAACTCAAATTATGAACATCTTCTATTTTGTTTTTGTCAAATTTTGAAAATTGAATTGGTTGTTTAGGTTTCATTTTGATGTTTGTCTTGGAACCTTGTTTCAGGAACTAAGTAATTATTTGGCTGTTAGCACCTCCACAGCTGTGATCGTTGACAAGAGTTCGGATGGTGACTATTTACGTATCGATTTCAATATCAGGTAGAAGCATATGTAGGCATTTGCTGTCTTTTATTGAATAGGATGTTTTTTGAAGATGGATGCCCATGTCTTAACTATTTTTTACTATTATAATCTGAGTTATTGGTAGCTTTGTGGTTTTCCTGAGTCTTGGTATGGACTTGTCATATTTTACAAAGAGTACAAGCTTCTTTCTACTTGCATTTGCTTATTGAAGCTCTTGTTATATGAATGCATAATTGTCTAATAGAGAAATTTATGAAGACCAGCTTGTTAGGGGTTGATAAGTTGTTTGCTAAGTATTGGTTAATTCATTGAACAAAATGGTTTGTAGTTTGACTTTTTAGAAGCTTGAAATTCACTCAAGTAGTGTTTGGACGGAGAACTTCAAAACTCTAAGGAATTTAAAATGCATGGAAATTTAATTGCTTCAATTAATTTTTTTTTATTTTCAAAATATTTTGTTGGAATAAGGCAATTCAAATTCCTCGTATTATCCTTTGTTATGATAAAGTAATTTAATTTTTGTTGCATGTAGATATTATTTTTAAATATTTATTTAGAAAAAAAGGTGTAGAACAAAGATAGAGAGGGAGAGGAAAAGAGAATAAGAGGTAGAAAAAAGAGAGAGAGAGAGAAAAAAAGATGTGAAAGAAAGAGGGAGAGAGAGACACAGAAGAGCGAGAGGAGAAAGAGATGCATTAGAGATAGACACTCACCAAAGCTTTGGGTGAGAGAGTTGGAAGTGAGACCGTGAAAGAGAAGGAATTTTCAAACTTCTCGTTTTCAATATTATTTGAAATGCCTTCATATTACTTAAAAAAAAATCTCCTATCAAATTTCCATCATATTGAAAGTTCTTTGGAGTTGATATCCAAACAAGTAATTTTTTTTGGTAACATCAGAGAAACAAACAAGTCATGTTGATATGTTGTATTTTAAATCCACTTAAAAATTGAATTCTTCTCTTAAAGCGCCACATCCAAACACACTTATGGAGGAAGACCTTTCAAAGAAATTGGGCCAGCTTCAAATCAGATCATTGTTGAAATTGGGAGTGGGATGACGATCTTACAAAATGATAATTAAGAGGCTAGGAGTCATTATTGATATTTGATGTTTAGTGATGGCTTGTGAAATTGTCATGAATTCAAAGTGTCCCCAAGCCAATGCCTTCAGCTCATCAGATTTTCTAGTCCTTCCCAATTTATTTAGACACCGTAGCTAGTCATAGTATTATTCTCAGTATGTTAATTTAATGGCTATTTGTAAACTTTGTCTTTCTCTTTCTCTGTTGTTGTTGGCTAATTGCTTCAACTTATTTTGTAGTTTTCCTGCACTTTCATGCGAGTTTGCATCAGTTGATGTGAGTGATGTGCTGGGAACAGTAAGTTTCTATTACTCCATTTTCTTATTCATTTTATACTTGCTTATGATATGATACCTCATCTCATTCTTTGATGTTTTAGTCCTTGTACTTAATATTTTGCCACTTGTTTTCAGAACAGGCTCAATATAACAAAAACGGTTCGCAAGTTTTCCATTGATTCAAATTTAAGACCCACTGGTGCTGAGTTTCATTCAGGTACAGTTTCAAATGCTGTGAAGCATGATGATGAAGTAGATGAAGAATCTGTTGAAGGTTCTTTTTCACTTGCAACACATAATTTTGATAAATATGTTCATCAGTAAGTGCCCACTCCTGAGAATATTTCATTCAATTTTTCTTTGTTTTAAGTACGTGAGAGCTCAAAAGTTCCTTTTAATATGCATTGTTTACACTATTTTAATGATCCTTTTGCAGGTTTCCAATTACAGTTGTAAATTTTTATGCACCATGGTGTTCCTGGTGTCAACGTTTGGTAATCATTTAATCATGATTCTTTACCTCTTCTTCATTTCTGGAAATAAGAGCGGTACTTGATGTTTTTGTTGTTTTGTAAATAGTTTGATTTTCTATTCTGTTTCTGTTTCTGTTTCAACAATGTGTCGATCCTTAAAAGAGGAATTTCCTTTTCATTACAAGCCCTGTAGTAGTGGCAAAGGCTATTTCAAGTGCTTAGTGCATTTTTACCATCTGTTACACTTCAGTAGTGACTAATGCAAAATCATGACTCAGAATATTGTATAACATGTCATATGCTATGGGTGCTAGTAGTTGCATTTCATCTGCCCTAATAAGATTGTTAACCAAATGCTTTGATACAATGAATGAATTGTGTAGAATTCTTTCCTTTAATGGATGATGGTATGATTAGTAGATTTTGAATTTGTTAATGAATTTATCTTCTACTCATTTCTTTCAGAAACCTTCATGGGAGAAGGCAGCTAAAATTTTGAAAGAGAGGTAATTTATTATTGACTCATCGTTTCTCACACTTTTCGAAAATTGAAATTACATTTTAGATGATTGACTCTCATCTCCTTTGTGGATTTGGTAGAGTTAATTTATCATAACTTCACTAATTAAATGTCCAATATGTTTATGATTTCATTTAATTTAGATATGATCCAGAAATAGATGGGCGTATTATTTTGGCAAAGGTAGATTGCACTCAAGAAGGAGATTTATGCAGGAGGTACTATTGCTAGTTTATTTACTTTTATTCTTTTTCCCCCCAAATCACTCTGTTTCTTACCTACAGTTGACTTATTTTCCTTTTTTTTTGTCTGTAATTTTTTTTTTTATATCTATTATTAAATGAAATTTGGTTTTGTATCATTTTTATGTTTTTGCTTTTGAATCATGAAAAGATAAAGTTGCCAAATCATACCTGGAAAATAAGTACTTATAATAACTATAAAAGCTATACTACGATGAAATTGGAGTGGAGAAAGAAAAAGTGGTGAAGATATGTTCTTTAATTTTAGTAGAAAAGAAGGAAAATAAGGAAAAGAACATTCTTGAAAATAAAAATGGGGTTAACTGCCATATACCCTGTTTCGTTTGTATAAACCAACATGGGAGGCAAACTCATAAAGAAATGTGCATGGATGAACCCCTCATTTTGGTTCTCTCATCATAGGCAGAAATGCTACAGAAGGATGCATGATGGTTGTTAAGAAGTGGATTTGTTGTTTTGACCCTTATAATAGCATGAACCTTATGTCAATTTGTCTGGTTCATCACTTAATAGGTATTACTTGCAAGAAATTAAGGCTGTTGGGTAGATTTTTCTAAATGTATATATAATGCTAATAACATTTCAGGAGTACTTTTGTATAAAAAATAATGAAATTAGGAGTATTCAAATTCTTTAAAATGCTGTAATAAATTATACTTTTCATTAACCCAAACATATATGAAGAATAAGTTGACAATGAATTGCTATGTGTATATTACATTATACTGCTTTTTTAATAGTTTTTTGGGATGCTTTTTTAAATTCTGGTTCTTAAATTTAAAAACTTCTGCAATATCTTTACTTTCTTTCTCCTCAGTTTTGTTCTATTTAAACATCATCAGGAAACAGTTGTATTCTCTATATTTTTCATTTCTTTTGTTTTCTTCCCTGCTTCTTTCTTTTATCACCAAGAGTTGAGAATTGAGATTGACGTTGTGCTTCTATCTGCAAAACACAAATTTTTTGTTGTTGACAAAACTGGAGCTTAGTTTCCATGTCAATTAACCTTTTTGATACATATTAAAGAAAAAGGCGAGGTACTTCTGTAAATAAAGTGAATTGATAGTTAATGGCTCTCTGTTAAAAAGTAAAAATTGATTGTATGGGAGTCAAAGCCAAGATGTGGAAATATCATTGTGATGTTGCATTCTTCTTAGTTTATGTTCTCTTCTTTTACTCGGAGTTGGGGGAAAGAGAAGGGAAACAAGTAAGCTCCAGTTAGAGTAGTTTGTTTATTAGTTAGTTAGAAGGGGGCTTAAATACCTTACTCATTCTCGCAAATATTCTAGTTTTCACTCTTAGCCCTTGGGGTTTTTGTAATGATTCTTGTAAAGTTCAAACCTTTGAATTTTTGGTTTTGCTGTCAGTCTCCATTACAAAAACGCTTATTGAACTTGTTATTCTCCATCTATGTTTTTTTGCCATTCATCTGTATCTCATTATCATTTTCCAGGAATCACATACAAGGGTATCCATCTATTCGAATCTTTCGTAAAGGAAGTGATGTCAGGTAACAATGCCATTATGTAAAATCCATTGGTCAACTAGTGTATGATGAAGAATTCCTACCTTTTATTCAATATTTCAATTAACAAACATTTGTACTATATGTTATGTTATGTAAGATAATTAATATGATGTTATTAATTATTATACAGAATTAATATCATTAACTCATGGAGTTATCCCTGCACAAACCTCATTATGTACAATTCATGCATTTTAGATATTTCTCCTCGCTTTTTTGGTTAATAATGAACATGTGCTCATCTGGCATCTGCTTATCCTTTTCAGGGTATTATTACTATTATATACAATAATTTATGACTAGTTTAATGCTGTAATTTTTGTTTTTGGCTTAGATGCACTTTTGGTTCCTCTACATTGGCCATAGTGCGATTTTGGTTTACCAAGATCTTTTTTGAGTTAATTAAGTATCTTTTTAAAGTCAGAAAAATTTGGTCCCTTTATCACTTAATACCCTCATTATTATTTTTCTATCCAAATATTTGGGGGTTTATGATGGAATCGGGATATAATTTTAAAATTTAGAAGTACGAAATTTAGTTAAAACTTGATAAAATTTGATGGATTTCTATGATATGTGGGATTAGGGTTTGAAGAGGGAGAATTTTAAGATATTTTTGTGGAAATTTAATGTGTTTGTTTTATAAATAAAGGAACTTAATTGACTCAAAAGAACTTGGGAGACCAAAATTGCATATTGACTAAATTAAAGGACCAAACATGCAATTAAGCCTTTTTATTCAATAAATATGGGAATGGGTTGGATCTAAAACTCAAATCTAGAACGTGATTAGTGATAAAAGTCAACATTAATGGAACACGAGGAAAGGATGAAAATAGTGCATTAAAATAGGTGGGAAAGGACATGACTATATGTTTCAATGGGAAATGGTTAGAGTTATGAAATCATTTTGTGAAAATATATATGAATAGGTTAATTTTGTCTTGTTATCGCATTTACATATTTTCATTATTGTTTGATTGTCATATTTTCATGCTTCCGTTATTATTTGAATTTGATTTGGTTGTTATTTCCTAATTCTCTATTTCCTTATTTAGCCTGTATAGTTCAGGTTTTATATAGGGATATCTCTTGTACCAAAATAATGTCATCACATCAGATCTCTTTAATACGCATGGAAAATAATGTGTACTCTGTTTTTTTCTTTTTCCTTTTCATCTCTAAATTACCTAAATCTTCATATTTCAACATGTTTAAAATTATTTTATTTTTCTTAATGTTTGGTTGAAAAAAAAGATAAAATGAGTGCATTCCTAGAGCAATTCACAAAACCATTTGCGCAATGTTGCACTGCTGTATCACCTAAGAGGATCAGCTGAATATTCAAATTGAAATCATGTCGATGACCAATTTTGTAGTTATTGTAGCTATCTTTGGACAAGTTAGCAAGACTTACCTCCTTGACATTCTCAATGAATCAAACTTTTAATGGACAATGTCACTTCTTTATAATGTTTAGTTCTCCATTGTATTTAGAGGTCTTTCTATTCATTTTAAGCCATATCTTTATGATATTTTGCACATCCTGATTACTGTTTCAAATTGTTTGACGACTGGATTTCTAAAGTTTTGGATTTTTGATTAAATCTAGTTTGCTGAATACTTTTCAGAAGTGAACATGGGCATCATGAGCATGAGTCATATTATGGAGATCGTGATACAGAAAGCCTAGTCAAGGTTTACATTATATTTATTTTAAATTAGCATAATTTGAACCGGTAGACTTGATGCTTTTTTTGAAGTAATTAAACACCACTTTCTACCTGCAGTTTATGGAGGGTTTAGTTGCATCTCTCCCAACAGAATCTCAAAAGCTAGCTCTGGAGGATAAATCTAATGCTACAGGGAATACAAAAAGGCCAGCGCCATCAGCAGGTGGATGTAGAATAGAGGGATATGTGCGTGTGAAAAAGGTAAATGCCCAAAAGGTCAAGGTTTAATCATCAAATATAATTTATAAAATCTCCTTGTTTTTCTTAAATAGTTTTCATATGTAACCATGAGTTATGAAGGTCTTACATTGCTCTGGAAGTAACTGATGCAATTGATTCCACGTTTTCTTTGTCTTTTTGGTTTTAGTAGAAGCTCCAGTTATTAATACTAAAATCTCTAAAATAACTTTTTCTTTCCCTAGATTTCAAAAAAAAAAAATGTTGAAAAAGAAATATAAGCTGTTTTCCACTATGCAGGTTCCAGGAAATTTGATCATCTCAGCTAGATCAGACGCCCATTCCTTTGATGCTTCTCAGATGAACATGTCACATGTCATAAACTACTTGTCCTTTGGAAAGAAAGTGACAGCTAGGGTCATGAGTGATGTGAAGCTCTTGATACCATACATTGGTAGCAGCCATGACAGGCTCAATGGCCGGTCATTCATCAATACTCGTGATTTAGGAGCAAATGTTACAGTAAGTTCAATATTTATATGAAGAACATAATTTAGTGTTTACTTTACTATTTGACTTTTGTTGGTTGCCATGTGTTGAATGTTTGATTTCATAATGGGCAAAAAGTTTGTTGATCTCCATTTGCAAGAGTAAGATGTTACAGATAGCATGAATGCCCAGGACCTCCTCATGTAGTGCTTTGCTTTTCTTTATTCCTTTTCTTCCAAATGCCTCATATTCCTATAAATCATGTTTCTGCAGATAGAGCATTATATTCAGATAGTTAAAACAGAGGTAATGAATAGAAAAGGCTATAAATTAATTGAGGAGTACGAGTACACAGCGCACAGCAGTGTGGCACACAGTGTAGACATTCCTGTTGCGAAGTTTCATCTTGAGCTCTCCCCCATGCAGGTCTGCATACATTTAAGGTTATATAGTTTTGGATGAAATTTTGAACTTGTAAATTCATTTAAGGTTTACAATGTTCTTGTCCGCAGGTCTTAATAACAGAAAACCAGAAGTCTTTTTCACATTTTATTACAAATGTCTGTGCCATTATTGGGGGAGTTTTCACGGTTTGTATTAGCCATTGTTCCCCATACTTTTTGTTTTATGTTTGATTTTTTTTTATAATTATATTGTTGATTAGTCTTTTATTTTTTATTTTTATTTTTATTTTTATTTTTTTCCCTTTTGTGATTTCAGGTAGCTGGAATTTTGGACGCGATTCTGCACAACACTATTAGAATAATGAAAAAAGTAGAGCTTGGCAAAAATTTTTGATAGATAGATGAAAATTTTGTATAGCGTAGGGCCTGATTTTGTTATGCCCAGTTTCACTTAACAGTTCTATAGATATTAACTATGCTATACATCATACAAATATAATTTTGTAGTTACTTCGGTAAAATGTTCATTACAAGGATAAAGATTATGTGGCGCATAATGTATCTGATATTTGTCTTAATTAATTTTTTTGTTGCTTTTAGGAAAGAACATAATTTATTAGAGGAAGGGTACGTAAAAAGTTTAGGGGAAAAATGATAGAGTAGGAGCATGACTAATTTTGACTGCAAAATTGGGTGTCAAGTAATGAAAACCATGACTTGAGACTCAGCTGTTAGCACAGAACAGTTTCCTTCTCTTAGGCCTGTTTATTGAAATCACTCTTAAAAATAAGTCATTCGCAATTTGCAGTGTACTTCGAGACAAAAATGATCAATTGGTGTGGCTAGAACCTTTTTCTTACCAAAGGGAAGAGAGAGAAAAAGGAATAAAATAGAAGAGTTGATGTGGTAGCTTCTCTTATTTTCTTTCTCAACAAGAATCTTCCAGTAAGCACTTTTAGTTTCTATAAGCAAAATGAAATTGCGAGGTGCATGTTATTTTATAAGGGACTATAAATTGAGATTTTAAATAAGGTTTTTGATTCCTATGTTATTGCTATTATATAATTAGTCTCTTAATTCTAGATTGTGCAATTGTAGTCGTGTTTTGATATCTTTTTAAAGTGTAATTTCGGTCTGATTGTTAGTTCGTTGTTAATTTTTAATGTTTCTTCCTAACTTGTCTGTGCACTATTAGTGAAGTTCTCCTTCAATTACACTTTTTTTAACCTAAAATACTTAAACTCAAAACTTTATTTTAGAGTATTCGGTTTATTTTCGTTCGCACCAATATCTGTTAGTATTGACATGTTAATTTATTTTTGCCATGAACATAGTATCGAAATAAATAATGAATGACTAATTTGCATGTGTGTGATTTTTGCTGATAAAATATTATTTTAATATAATAATTTGACACATTAATATGGTATATAAGATTAAAATTATACAATTATAATATTTTAAAGAATAAAATTGTACACTTGTATTTAAAGATTATTATAATGAAAAAATAAAACATGTTAAAATATTTCAATCAAGTACGACCAAAATAAAACTAAAATAATATAATTCCACCATTCAAAATGTGTTCATACAATTCCAAAATATAAAGCAAACACTTGTGCGACCAAAATAATACCAAAATAATATAGTTTGACAAATCCAACATGTGTTCATACACAACCAAATTATAAAGAAAATACTCAAATCAAGTGCAACTAAAATAACATCAAAACAATATTGTTCATCCTAGCTTGTACTTTATCCAATTTGAACGCTCTTTTATTGACAACATCAAGAAAAAGTCTTTCTTTGCATTAGTATTGAGGAAATCAGCTGACATGTAGCGAGTTCGAACATCCAAATTTGGGATCTCTTTTATGGCACTCCAAAATATTTCCCTTTGCTTCTTGGTATCTTTCTCTTTTTTCCATCAAGTTAGACATTTTTTCAAAATTGGCGGCTATAGTCTCAATGCCAACAAATAGATTTTCTAGAACTTTGGCTTGACTATTGTTCCCAATTGAGTTAGAACTCACTCCATACTCAGACCTACTCCACTTACAATTAATTGGTTTTTCAGTGGGAACCATTGAACTTAAAGGGGGTTGAGGTGTTGAAATTCTTGGGTGAGGTGATGGTGGCTAGTAAGGTAGTTCATAGTGATCTGGTGTTATGGTGTTATGAATACATCATTGTTAAGATCTAGTGTTATGAATACATCATTATTAGATACTAGAATGTCTTATGTTAATTTTCTTTTTTTAAAATATAAAAAAATCCAAATTTCACAATATAAAAATTAAAATAAAAATTCATAGTAAAAGATAATAATTGTTGAGTCATAAAAGAAGGAGGAAGATAAGAGTAACAAATTCAAGAGAAGAAGAGAGATCGCAATTTTTATACAGAAAGGGTTTTTCCCCCAATTAAGATCCATTTTCATCTCATTATACTCATAGAAACCCTAACTCAAATTCATCTTATATATATATATTGTAGAGATCATGATATCAATTTCATCTTTTACCTTTCCCTTTTCTTGACCTGTGTTATAAAAAAATTATCACTTAAAAGTTAAAATTTCAAGCATTTTTTTTGTGTTATATAAAGGAACAAATTCAACTAAATAAAATAAAATAGAGCAAGTCAATTAAAGAGAACGAAGAGAAAAATAGAGCAAGTCAATGATACTGTCATTTATATATCAGAGTTTCACAAAATAGGGAAATGGAATGGGAACAATACTACAATATTATATATGAGCAATGAACAATAGTGCAATATTAATTGTAGAGAAAAAATTGAGAAGACGAGAGCATAGAAAAAAAAATGAAAAACTCATTTGAAAATTCTTGAAGCACTTGAAAAGTCACTTCAAACAATCCTCCGAAATCCGATAGGTTTGGATGAGATTGTTTTATGAATTTGGTATTTATAGATAACACTAGAAAGTCATTCAAAATCCCTCTAACACAATAATCATTTAAAATCCTTATATTTTGAATACCAATTGATTGTTTTTAAGTTGTAAATGAATACTAATGGATTTTAATAGACTCTTTAAAAAATATTGAAAATCCAGATTAAATACCACTGAATTGTTTTTAAGTGACATAAAATCCCGATTGAATACCAATTGACTTTTTTACTCAAAAAAAAATCTTTTAAAATTTTATGAAATCCTAAACCAATACACCCCCTAAGTTTTCTTACTTCCTACCGTTAACCCCTTTCTAGCCGTTTCATCCTCTGATGACCTCCACTAAGGTGTCATATATCGTGAAAGGCTAGGTACAGGACATCAAAGTTAGCTTACATTGACCTTTATTTAATTTTTTTTTTAAATATCTCATTTTTTTATACTTATTTCAATAATTTTAAGACAATATATTTTTAGTTTCTATAAAATGAAAGAGTTTCTATTTAAGTTTTATAAATTTTTTTCTTTGTTTTCCATTTTTTTTATAAAATTTATAAACATTATTTTGTCTTTGTGAAATGAATTTTTTGTTTTGATTTTGATCTGATTTTCATTTTTCTAAAATCTAAAGTCACTTTTTATGGCTACTAATAGTTGTTTTAAGATAAATAAATAACGGTTGTTTTATAGATGTATGCAAATTTTCTAATATTAACACGATGTCACAAATAATTGTGAGTAACATCTAAGGTAATCATTTAATTATTTCATTAAAAAAGTAATTAAAAAGGATCACATAAAAATGGAGATTAAAAATAATAGTTTCAAATTTTAGAGAGATAAAAAAATAAAGAAAAAATTTACAGAGATTAAAATCAAAGCTTACTAATTTTGTAGAGACTAAAAACATATTTAATTTTTTTAAAATAAATTATCAATAGTTAAAAATAAATTTTATTATAGCATAAATTATTTAGCATAAGTTAAAAATATTATTTGTATGTTTATACAAATTTTAGTTATAATATAATATATATCAATAAAAAATTTAGTTATATAAAATAAATAGTTATTTTATGTATTGTAGGGATAAATAATATTTTATATTTAATTATGTCATACTTGATTTTTGAGGAAATTGTTTTTTACATTCCTTTTCATAATTTTTTTGACTAAATTACACTTTTGGTCTCTTTATTTTTATTAATATGCAATTTTAGTCTCAGAGACATCTAATCCCTCTAATTTTAAAAATACAGAATTTTGATTCTCCCATCAAATTGACATCTAATAACTATTAAATTTTAACGTTTACTCATATTAAAGTAATATAACATTTAGTAACATGACATTTAAAAATAAATAAATAAAAAAATTACAAATAAATTTTTTATTAATAAAATAAATATCAAATACCCATAAAAATATTTACAAATAAAAATGTTTTGTATGTCATTTTTTTAACTTTTATACCTATGTGTTATATTGTTAAGTCTCAATTTTACCTCTTTTTGGATGAGACTTATTGAACAAATTCCACTCATCCTTTGAACCATTGCAATATAATTGTTCTCTTTTTGGTTCATTTTGTGTGCAGATATAACTAACCCAAATTTAGCTAACAATACCTTAATACACCTCATTTTTGTGCAGGTATTGAGCTAGAGAAGTGAGGATTGAAGATTCTTAGGATTGGGAATCCAAGAGGCTAAGGAGCAGAGAAGAAATTGCGCCGGGCGCAAGATGACTCGCGCCGGGCTCGAGAAGAACAGAGTCTGGAAGCCGTGGCGCCGGGCGAGAGAATACATGCGCCGGGCGTGGTCGAGACAGAGAGTGCTTGAAACTCTCTGGAAGACATCGCGCCGGGCGTAAAAGGAAATTGCGCCGGGCTTACACTGAGGCAGAAAGTGCTCAGAAGAGTACGCGCCGGGCGCGAAGACTTACACGTCGGGCGCGAAACCCTAATCTGATCTCCCTGGCTCGTATTTGAAGCCATTTTCGGGGGAGAAACCCCCATTCTCACATTGGGCGCCTCCAGGAGCTGCGGAAGGGATTCCCAGGGCTTGGGATCGTCCGTGTGCGGATCTTTCCTTCGGTTCTTCACTTCCTCTTCCATCTCTATTTTGTATTTGCCCTCTTTGTTGAGTGGTTTCACCCATTTTGTGGGGTTAGATGTAGCCAACATACTCTATTGTAATCCTTACGTTTTCAATGATATATATATTTGTTGTTTCATTCATTGTTGTGTTTGTTTCTTTGCTTAATGCTTGCTTTGGATTGATCACCCTTTGCATGATTTAAGGTTCCATTGAGTATTGGGAAATACCTTTGAAATTAGTTCTGGAACATATGCCTAGTGGAGATTGTATCTAGGGATAGAGCTTGACCCATTAGTAGTCTTAAACCCTAGCCCGTAATGCGGGTGTAGGTATTGGGTACTCAAGGGATTGATATTCAATATCCGCACCTAGGCTTTCTCTAAGGGATTAGGTTTGAGTAAACTTATGGGTTGACTAAGCAATGAATTTAACAAGAGATTAAGGATACATTAGTGTTTCGTTCGGTGAAATCAGACCCCCACAACCTCACAATACCATTATCTCATTTCTACCCTTTCCCATTCTAAAACTAATCTTTTTATAGTTTTAACATTCC